AGTGTTCTCGGACTCCCCTGTGGTTCCAGCCGATCCTCCGCCTCGAGGACGTCCTCCTCTCCGCCCAGCAAGACATCCTCCTGATCCATCCTCCGCCGTGAATTCTTCCGCCTCCAAGAAGAAATCTGTGACTTTCCTCAACAAACCTACAGTTGTGCTGAGAAGAAACCCGCACAGACAGGCTAGGGGAAGAAGTTCCTGCTCCGCCTTGACTCCGCCGTTCCTTCTTGGGGGGAGTAATGTGGCGGAAGACGATCCAAGTTTAAACCGGATAGAGAGACGCGGCAAGAAGAACTCAGATCTGCCACGTCACCATGAATAGACATATTTTTGATTTCTTAAATTGATAAAGTAAAATAAGTTAGTCAATAAAGTATTTATTTAAACCCGTCGTTGTTTAAACTGAGCGTATCTAAAATAGTAATAATAATATTTATAATAATACCTTAGCTTTAGGTGAATAGCTTTCCTCCTCGTCCAAAGCGAGTCTGCTCGGGACACTTCCAGCACTATTTCCTCCCCTAGAGGGGGTTCTAGAACCTCCAGGGGAGTTAAGGTCCCCTCCTGCAGACCCTATAATATAAATATATAAACATCATTGCAGTTGGTAGACTCATCTATGCATATTGCATAATGCTAGTGGCGTATACAGGAATGACAATAACATTGTCTTGACCGATCTATGAACCTAGTAATTTATGGAATCTAAGATGACACTAACCTTGTCTTGACCGATCTATAAACCTAGTAATCTATGGAATCTAAGATGACACTAACCTTGTCTTGACGATCTATAAACCTAGTAGTCTATGGAATCTAAGATGACACTAACCTTGTCTTGACCGATCTATAAACCTAGTAATCTATGGAATCTAAGATAACACTAACCTTGTCTTGACCGGCCAGAATTACGCATAGATCCAGGTCTAGAGCTCATTGCTCTCTGCTCCTGTAAACCCTTTATACAACAACATTATAAAAATACTGATAATAATACTTTAAAAAAATATTAATAATGACGATAACAATAATAATAATAATAATGATAATCATGATTATTAATTAACATTATTTTGGGTTGGGGAGAAAAATTTCTTATAGCATTGAGAGGGGAGTGGGCGAAGGATCTAAAGGGAATGTACAGACATTATTTCAAATATAGAGGAGCATGTCCGATTTACAACGGTACCATTAACAGCTTGGGCTGATCAAGAATGAATGAGATATCTTTGCTTTTTATTTTTGAAAATTGATTATTTTCATTTGTAGTTTCTATTAAAAACGTTTGTATTAAAAGAAATAATTATAGTCTAAGATCAAAACTTGAACGCTTGATCTCTATATCCAATTTATGCACTTTCAAAGTAGAGGGAAAATGCTCAATTCCTTTATGAAAGTTATCCGTGTAGCTCATGACCGGCCCAAGATATCGAAGAGGAAATAAATAGGTCTGACGTCTGGGGATACAAATTCTGCGGAGTTCTGAGTTTAAAACTTTAGAATGGGATATCCTTAATCCCGATCAGTTCATTAATCTGGAGATTAATAACAAGAGGATAACAAGCATTATTTAATCTCGAGATTAAGAAGAAGAGTGGATCAAGCATTGATCTCGATATCCACCACTCTAAAGTTTTCAACTCTGAGCTAGAAACTTTAGAATGGTGGATATCGGGATTAATGCTTGATCCACTCTTTTTCTTAATCTCGAGATTAAATAATGCTTGTTATCCTCTTGTTATTAATCTCCAGATTAATGAACTGATCGGGATTAAGGATATACCATTCTAAAGTTTTCAGCTCTGATTAATTAAATATATGTAAATATAAGTAAATTTTGTTGTTCCTTGGCACGTTCTGCTTTCTTCAATTCCACAGCATAATCCCCTGCCTCCTAAATATCAAACAAATTGAAAAGAATTATTTTAAAAATTCCTATTTTTTCTACTTTTTTATAGAAACAAGTCAGAGTTTCCATTTTTATTTTGAAGTTTTATTGATTCAGAGTTAACAATATTTGATTAGTCTAGTTTGAGGGAAGCAAATAAAAGAATTAACTGGAAGTAAATAAACTTACGAGATTAAATCCTAAACCAGAATCTAATCCATAAAGTTATTATTATTTGCAACAACTTTACAGGGAAGTTATAGGAATTTTACTTCAAAACAACAAGAGCGCAGCTAAGGATGTTTTTAGGCAATATTGGTCTAGGGAACCCGTGGTTAAGCAACATGTTTAAGTTTCCGAATTAAAACCATGATCTTTAAATTTTGCTAGAGGGTGGTCACTGGTCTGTTTTGTACATCTGAGGGGATTATATGAAATATGATTGAACTTAGTCTTCAGTTTTCTTTCTCTATGAATATAATGTTTCCAAACCAATTTGTCTAGTGCTATAAAAAGGTATAAGTTAGTTTGTAAGGTAAACCTAAAGAGTAAGGCGTTGCGACACTTTAAAATCGAGGCTGTCTTAAAATTTGATGACAAACTTTCAGAGTTGTCTATTTATCAGATATAACCTTGAGACCCATGTCTGATGATATTTTGACGAGAAACCTCAGGCATTCAATATTGTCTGGGAAGCGTCTATGTATAGATCTATATGTGTCCAGGGATCTATGGTAGTTTCCAGATCTTCGGTAGCAGCTTGCTGAATACAACATCACATATCAAAACCAAGGTTGTATTATGAGGTTGCTTACTCTCCATGCTCTCCAATATACGGAAGATGTCGTCTCCTTGGATATATATTATCCGCATATGAAGTCATTTTGCATCTATAATCAGTGACGTCATAAACGGATGTTATCTATCTATCTTAGGAGACGACATTTACCGAACATTGAGCGCATTCAGAGTAAGCAACCTTATTATACAACCTTGATCCTACAAAACCAAGAAGTAGGACTGGGCACCGTTAATAGAGAATCTTTTTTGTTTAATTAACGAACGGGATTTTCAGTTAGCAACCCCAACGTTTGGAACAATAACGATCACAGTTAAAACTGTTCTATTAGAAAGTGGAACATAGTCAAAGATTTCAGTGTTTTGTTTACAATGATTTTCAGTCTTTAAAATTTAAAAGAACTTTTCTTACTAAAATTTTTTTCTTTTATTTCGTCCAGAAATCCCAATTTAATCTGGTGAGAATTGTAATGTTTCCTATCATAAGATGCCATTTAACCTCATCAGGCTGCATCAATGCTGCTCTCTCGAAATATACAATTGCTTTCTCAGCAACCTGAAACATATTATATAAAATACGATAATGATGAATAAAGTATGATCCCTGTGTACCTGCATCTCTATAAAGTATGATCCCTGTGTACCTGCATCTCTATAAAGTATGATCCCAGCCAATCAATGGTGTCCAGGCTAGAAGGAAAGTTCTTGTAGGAATCATAATGATATTGGTATGCTTGCTGTTTATCTCCTGTATACATAAATATAATTTAATTGAAATAATATCAAATATAATCGAATATAATCAAATATAATCAAATATAATCAAATATAATCAAATATAATCGAATATAATCAAATATAATCGAATATAATCAAATATGATCGAATATAATCGAATATAATCGAATACAGAATCTGGCGACGTATTGTGATTTGCATGTCAAACTGATTCAAAATAAGATTTCTTCGTTTTAAGTCTACTTTAATAATACGCGAACCCTTTTATAGAGAATTTTGAAAGCATTAACTTCTTAAAAACCTCCATTTCTTAACTTTGTCATTAGAATCTATTTTACTAAATTCGGAATTTAATAAAATATCAAAAAAATATTTTTCCCCTTCATTTAACCAACCTTCAGGGAATGAACTCAAGCTTTAGTTTTGATTAATAATGCATATGAAATATTTACTTACTACCCCCACCACTCAGTCCCTTTTATGGAACATCTTCCCACCCCCCCTCAATCACTCTTTTAAATTAACCCACCCCTTCTGAACAATGTTAATGTTATAAAGAATTTGGCTCAATTTACAGTAAGTTCCAAAATAAGTGACAATTATAAAATATATAAGTACGATAAAAATCAGGGAATGTTACATTTTACCTTATAAACTTAAACTTTATAGTATTTTTTGAGATTATTCAAAAATTATATTTTAAAAAATTGAATTTCTAAATAATCAAGTTTTCTAACTTTGGTTTAAAATTAGCAAAATTTAAATTGAATGGGTTTTTAATCAATCATGAATGATCACGATTTTTCAAAAACTTAGTTTTATCTCTTCAGAGCGGTAAATTTTGCAAATTTGGAATTTGATTTATATATCCCTATAATATATTTACAATCCTACAATCTTAGACTTTAGATATCTCAAACTATGAAGTCTGCTAGATCTAATAAATTTGAAATATCAAAGATTTACACCATCAGTGTGCAAAGATATAGGGATAAGAAAATTTAAGTTTGTTGCAAAGACTCAATTCCTTTATCGCAAACTATATTTGATAGTTAATCTACGTCTTAAGGTTTGGGGCAATGTTATTTATGTTTATTTGTCTTTTTGTTATTTTCTTTAAGATACAAGTTTCACTTCAAACTAATTAGTATTTTTGTAAAATTTGCAACAAAAAGAACATAGCTGAAAACTTTAGAATGAGATATCCTTAATCCCAATTACTTAATCTGAGTATCCAATGGACACACTTTTGATTTTCTTCTTAAACCGTTCTTTTTTGGATATAGTAGAGAAAAATTTAAAACCGTTTAGTTTAATTTAGAGAGTCCCTCCCGTTTCTGTATATAATCTTAAATGGCGCGCAAAATTTCAAATTTTTCGGCTTCTTATATGCGACTTTTATTTGTTGAATTTTATACGCTTTTCACAAGATTAGGTTAGTCTCGATATTAACAAAAAGAGAGGATCAAGCATTAATCTCAATATCACTATTCAATAGTTTTCAGCTCAGGAATTGTAAAATTTGTTTTGTTATTGATTAATAATGCACGATGAGAAACTGGAAAAGAAGACTAAAATGTACGTGAACGCATATACAATTCATAACAGTAACTTTTAATACTTTGCATAATGAAGATTGAATGTTTTTAACCTAAAAAAGGTTATTATTTTCAATTATATTTTTTTCAATAGCGACTTGTGGATTTATACTGCAGAAACAATAAAGGATCGTTTCAGAATTACAAACTTTACAAACTTGAAGAACGACGATATCTTCTTTAGTCACTATAAAGCAAAACAAAGTTAATAAAAATGTATTTATAAATAATACCTTCGTTATCAAATATGTTTCCAACTTTCTGAAGAATGGATGGATCTGTTGGGACTAAACCCAGTAACTGTAAATACCATTCAGTAGCCTTCTCATACAATCAATCAATCCAGGCACTTGTTAAAGAGATCATATAGTTCTTAAAGGGACTTCATAATTCCTTAAAGGGACTGTAAACGTAATCTGAAGTGACCCTCAATTTATAAAGTGACATGTCAAATTCACAATTAACGTTACCTTTAAAAGCACTGTCTGATAAAAAATAATGATTTATCCACGTTTTTCTATTGAAAAATTGATAGTTTTTAATTACTTTATAAAAGTGCTCTCTGGTGCTGAAGGGATTTCGATATTTTTTTCCAAGCTAGACAAACGACTTTATCTTTCACATTATTGATAAGCTTTAGGTTTAAAGGGTATCGTTGAGGATCAGACATGCTCTTTCTAAATGGAGGTCCATATTGTCATCAATTAAAGATTGAACATCTTTGGTTGATTTTTTGTTTAATAAATAATCAATTGATTGAATTGATTAATTGATTGATTAATTTATTAAAGAAATTGATTGATATATTCCTGGTCTGAGTCCTCCATTAGCTCATAAACATTTGCAATCTGGTAAACAACCTGGCTGTAGTTCCTAACAATAATAATAGTAATGATAATAATAATAATAATAATAATAATATAATAATAATAATAATGATTTTCAGACCATAGATTCAGTCATAAAAGTCTTAATACATATTTTTGTTAAAACTTCATGTAACTTGAGATTAACATATAAAATAACAATTAATCAATATAAAGCTTTTTACACTCCACTAGACAAAAGTACAATACATTGTGACCTCGTAGCTTCTCTAAATTAACAAGCTTGAGAATTTTTTGTTAATTTTCTCAATAACTCTTTAATAAAAAGAGATAAAAATTTACTTTATTGTTACATATCTTTGCTGCTAACAAAAATTTAAATTTTACCCTTTAGGTCAAAATTTAAACACGAAATAGTCCAAAAATATTTAAGAAGAGAACTGTAAGTACTTTAACTCTGTAAAGAAAAAAGTTGTTGTTCAGGAAGAGATTGTATTGAAGATAAATTTTTAGATGAATTCGATTTATTTCTTCATCCGCAAAATGAAGGGTTTAGCTCTGCAAAAAGGAGAAAATAAATGTTTATATTTCTTTACATGGACTAAATTTTCTAAATCTCTTAATCTAAACAAGTTAATATTGCAGAAATTTATAAATATTTTATGAAAAGTTGGTAATTTAAAAAAAAAATTTCTTTAAAAAATGAAGAAAATTCCTATTAACAAAAATTCGTTAAAAATTGTTTCTAGTTTATCTAAAGCTCCCCCCCTCCACCCAGCACCTTACCTGACAATGCTGTGCAGTTTAAAAAATCCTTCCAGAGCATCTTCATAGAGTTCCAACTTTTTATTACACAAACTTTTAAAAAAAACTTTTTTTATATTAGTTAAAATGTTTAATAAAAAATGGGCTGAATTTTTTTTAAATTGGCCAAAAAAAATTTCAAAATTTGGCTGATATATATTTTTAAAGAAGCACAAGTCGAGTACCATGATCTATTTGGCTGTGCAAAAACATCTGTATCAATAAATGGAAGTTTTTAAGAAGAAATTAATCTTACAAAACTTACAAATCTTACAAAATATTTGAAGAAAATTCATTGTTAATCTAATTGTTCTGTTGTAGTTTTTTAAATAACTGCCCTTGAAACTCAAAAGTCAAAAGTACAGGGTGTCTCACGAAACATAAAAGTTGGTAAATAATATTGAATGTCTTTTGTCATATACTGTATTAGATATCAAAACTTTTTGCATTTTAATTCGTTAAAAAAATCTTTTAATCAAATTCATTTTACTTAGAAATCAATTTACTATAATATGACTGTCATACAATATGTTTTATAATTCTCTTTGGTATTAAACAACTTCACAAATTATGAAAGAAGACATTGTAAACTATTTACCAACTGTCATGTTTCGCCGGACACCCTGTTGTAAAAATGGAGTTATAATATTACCTAAGGTTATAAAGAGCTTCTACACAAGAAGCATCATTTTCTAGAGCTATTATATACAGCTCTTTAGCTTTTTCTACATCATTCTTTCTTAGGCAGCAGTTCCCTTTATATAATAATATATACATACTCGTATATACAATACATAATACATATACCATTTTATAAACAATTTGGATCTTTTTCATTAGTTTTCAGTTATATCAAAAAGTGATTCAACATTTGAAATCTTAATCTTTAGGTACAAATTTTTGCCCTGGGTTTCACTTTTTACAATTACGTTATTTTTGCTATAAAAAAAGATATATTAAAAATGTATTATTTTTATGGTTGAAGGTAAAAAAAGTTAAATACAAACTTGCAAAATGGTTGAATGCAAAAGAAAACTGTGCAATTCCAGCAGTTAAAAAAATAGTTTTACCAAATATTTGAGTTTCCATTTTGTTAAAAACATAAAATTTATCTTAAAATATAATTTTTTATTTCTTATTCTAAACTGCAAAGAGACTAGGCCTCGTCTCAACTATGGATCTTTCGTTCTACAAAAAATGTAACATTGCTTATATCATAGTAATATGCTTTTTAAGTTTAATTGGTTACCGAATTTTCTCCAAAACAAAATTTAAATATTTCTAGAATACATTTTTCAATTTAAATAAAAATAAAAATTAAATTGAATTTTTTCTTTCTTCTTTATCAAAAAACTTGTTAAATCTATGACTAAATTAATAAAATTACCTACAGCGGTTTGATAGGTGATTATATCAATATAATAATGAAAACGACTTTTATTTAAGTTTTGATTGATTGTTCACTAGCTTTTCTCGAATAATAAATTTACATGCAATCAAAGTTTTTTTTTTATCGCTGCTTCTCTTTGTTTCCATGTTTATGTGTATACATCCTGTTTAAAAGCTCGATATAAATCAAAATTAAAATCGAAAGTCGTCTTGATTGTATTGATATATGCAACGATGACTCTATAAGAGACTATTATTTTGATATAACATTTTTGGACTGACATTTTTTCAAATGACTTCTATGAAACATGAGGAATTATCACAAATGATTACTTTTTTGTGACATTTAATTGATAAATTTGTATTGCAAAAAAAACCTTTTCTTTATAATATTTCTTCAACAAAGTTTTAGTAGTTTTACGATTTAAAGAATTATTATCTTAGAAAGATGCGGAGCTCAGTTTGGAAATAATTTATTTTAATTTGAAATTTTAATGCGTAAAGAACCTGTAAAATCTTTCCCTGGGATATTTAGAAAGATGAAAATTTCCCTGTATGATAATTGAAGGACTGCAGTATGGCTTTGGTGAATTACATTGACGTACTAAGCCTAAGGGTGTCAGAAATATTTTTTTTGTTGCATTTTTTGAAAACGTCCCGTATACCTAAAAAAGTTTAATTTTGATAAAACTTTTTGGTTCTGGGTGATTGCATATATTTATAGAAAACATACCGATGTAAAACCTTTCAGAAATTAGGAAAGATTCTGCAAAAAAAAAGTTGCCAAACCAAACAGAATTTTTATTTTGAACAAAAAAAAATATAGAAGCTTTTCTTGGTTGCAATTAACTCTAGTTTTGCATTAGTTTTGAAATATTTACCTAGATTAACGAATATTTACCTAGATTAACGAATATTTACCTAGATTAACGAATATTTACCTAGATTAACGAATATTTACCTAGATTAATGAATATTTACCTAGATAAACGAATATTTACCTAGATTAACGAATATTTACCTAGATTAAAGAATATTTACCTAGATTAACGAATGCTGCTGCATTGTAAGAATCTGATTCTCTGGCTAGCGTCGCATATTTCTCAGCCTAACATTAAAAAAAGGTGTTTAAAATAAAACCTCTAGATATAAAACAGTGAGTATGGAATAGTAGGGAGATAAAATTGACGCGGCCCGCCCTACCATATGATTATACATGCTTTGCGGACGGTACTCCATTTTTATAAGAAATATTCATACAGGTTATTGTATACGCGGTAAGACAAATATTTCTTATTCAAATGTACAGTCTGCAAAGCATGTATAATCATATGGTAGGGCGGGCCGCGTCAATTATATCTCCCTTCTATTCCTTACTCCTTGATCTAAAACAAGTAATTATACAATGTGTCTCTGAAAAAATGTGTGTTTAGGCTTTTTAGCCAACTAAACATCATTGTTTTGTGTTAAAAAAGTAGTAGGTATAATACCCACAAATGGCGGGGAGGGTCGTCTTAGAAATATTTTTCTCTAAAATGTCGTTTTAACCTTCAAAATTAGGCATAATATTCGAAAATGTGCTCGGTTCCATTTCCGAAGATATGAACAAAACTCCCTTAAATAGATTAAACATCTTGAAAGCCCTGAGATGAAATAGATTCCTTGGAAAAATAAAAACGTTTTTGAGAAATAAAAGAAAATTCAATCTCCTTTTCTATCAAAGACAATTTTGTAAAAGATAAAACCTGGAAACTGATCCCCTCCCTACCCCCTCCCCCCTTAGGCAGCNAAAGGTATATACCTGATCTATTTCCTCCTGTAGAAAGTATTTGTATACCTGATCTATTTCCTCCTGTAGAGGTATATACCTGATCTATTTCCCCCTGTAGAAAGTATTTGTATACCTAATCTATTTCCTCCTGTAGAATGTATATGTATACCTGATCTATTTCGCCCTGTAGAGGTATATACCTAATCTATTTCCTCCTGTAAGAAGTATATACCTGATCTATTTCCTCCTATAAAGGTATATACCTGATTTATTTCCTCCTGTAGAAAGTATTTGTATACCTGATCTATTTCCTCCTGTAAGAATTATATACCTAATCTATTTCCTCCTGTAGAAATATACCTAATCTATTTCCTCCTGTAGAAAGTATTTGTACACCTGATCTATTTCCTCCTGTAAGAATTATATACCTAATCTATTTCCTCCTGTAGAAAGTATTTGTATACCTGATCTATTTCGCCCTGTAGAGGTATATACCTGATCTATTTCCTCCTGTAAAGGTATATACCTAATTTATTTCCTCCTGTAGAAAGTATTTGTATACCTGATCTATTTCGCCCTGTAGAGGTATATACCTGATCTATTTCGCCCTGTAGAAAGTATAAGAATGAAAGATTGGTTGCTGCTGTACTCGCCACCTTGGTGTCTTGCTTCTCAAAACCTGGAATATTTTCAGTTTACAACACAGTTAGCAGTTTTTTATTGTGCTTGATATTCAACTTATTGAAGATGAATGAACTGGATTAAACATTAATTATAAAGCAATTGTGCAGAGCACACAAAATCCTTTTTAACTTTTAATAGTCAATAGATAAACTATTTGCTTAAACAACATTTAAGAAACATAAGAATTCTTAAATATAATCTTTTTTCACTGTTCTACGGGTCCCACTGTATTTTTGGCTATTTGTTTGAAGATCTAACCTTTTAGTGTATCAATGGCCTGGTTAAAATCCTTCTGCTTCAAGAACATGACAGCTTTATTGATTTCAAGATCGTTTGCCAGCTAATATACAACATTGATCAACCAAATTTATTCTTAATCAACTTAATATATACATTGATCAATTAGACATATTCGTGATCAATTTAATATACACAACATTGACCAGTTTAATATATTCTTAATAAATTTTGTATTTACAACATTGATCAATTAGATCTATTCTTAATCAATTTAATATATACAACATTGACCAATTTATTATATTTTTAATCAATCTAAAATATACAACATTGATCAATTATCTTTTCTTAATCAATTTAATATATACAACATTGATCAATTAGATATATTCTTAATCAATTTAATATATACAACATTGATCAATTAGATCTTTTCTTAATCAATTTAATATATACAACATTGATCAATTAAATCTTTTCTTAATCAATTTAATATATACAACATTGATCAATTAAATCTATTCTTAATCAATTTAATATATACAACATTGACCAATTTATTATATTTTTAATCAATCTAAAATATACAACATTGATCAATTATCTTTTCTTAATCAATT